GGGACTTAGCTTTCAGAGAGTGTTTCTGTGCAATAACAGCATGGGAGCAAAGACCAATCTCAGCTTCAAAGCAAAATCAATGCAGCCAGAAGCCCTGCTTGTGTTATATCAAAGCACCACCATTTGAGAGCACCTCCTCTACAGTTCATGCACTGCTGCATTGCTAGCATGGTTCTGCCAGCTTCGAGTCCTTCCCTCAGCGAGGACATTTGGTAGCGCTCATTGCTCCTACACATCTTCAGTGCTGGCTGCTGTAGCCCTTTGCTGAGGTGGTCCCCGTTGGAGGGAAGGGCTTGCTTTTCTACCATGCTGGTGATTATTTGAGAGAGTTGCATGTTGCCAATCAGTGCAGCAGTTAAATGAACCTAGGTATGGTACTTTGTGCCATTCCTAAAATACAGACACATTAGTTCTCTTAGCAGTCACTGAGAAAGAGAGAGAGGGGAGGCTCTCTGCTCCACCCCTTCTCTGCTCTGGTCATTTCCTTACCCAGGATAAAACTGCAGTTAGATAGAAAATGCCCCCGGCATTTGGCAGCAAATGCACTGAGCAGAATATGAAGGAGGTAGAAAGTTTATCTGGTGACTGGGGAGGAGCCTCCAGCTTCTTCTCTGAGTGCTTCACCATCTTGGGCTTCACCTCAGCAATTAGTTTTAGATCCCACCCTTTATCTGCTGCATGGATGGATACATAGAGCAGAAGAAGTGGCAGGGGCACCCCAGTTCCCAGGTACCTGTGTGGCAAAGAACTGAATGCACACATGCAGCTTTAGCTATAATGTAAGTCTTTGCCTGCCAAAAAAAAATTTTATATATATATATATCTATCTATATATGTGTATATATAAAAGCTCTAAAGCTTTGAATAATTTACCAATTTCCTGGATTAAAAGGAAGATTTATGATGTTTGCCTCTGTCAGGCAGCAGCTGATCTTGATTCTTTGGAAAGGCAATTGTACTAAAGGCTCCTTTCTCTGAGCAGATCTAGGAGTAACTGCTGTGAGTTTATGTCGCCATGTGGTAAATAGACTTGTCTTATTCATGTTACACAATGCGGTGAAATCGGCTCGCTGATCTGATTGCTCTATAGGGTAGCACAGCCTATGAGCAGAAAACAGGATGTCACCCTTGAAATCCATAGCAGGAGTTGCACACACCCACCAGCACAACCAGGCATGCGGTAACACCGGGCAAGGATTGATTTCCATTGCTTTTCTAGGAAAGGTCCCGATAGGCCTTAAATCAGACTGAACTGGCAACGGAGCTTAGCCAAAGCTAGAATCTCTTTCCTTTCGTGAGTATTAGAGGTCTGAAAAATATATGACTTAGACCTGAATCTCAGTAATTACTAAATTACTGAGCCAGCCTGATTTTTCCATGAATGAGAAGAGACCGATCCGAGTCTGTGAGATGGTATTCTCATCCGACCGATCTTCAGGCTCCTGCTCTGCCCGTTGGTCAGTGACACTTTGTGGGGGGTATTTGCCTCTCACATTGACCACTGTGCTTAGCTGGCTAGCAGTGGGAAAGAGGGAGCGAAGCGCGATGCTGGTCCCCAAACTGCCTCTTGGTGCAGCCCTGTGTGCATTGCCTACAGGGAGGATGGGGGACTCCCAGACTCAGCCTTTCTTCTGACCCTGTATTTTCAGCACACCTCCAAATCTTGCTGGTTTTCTTTCAACAGTTGCCTTTGAAAGCAACAACACACAATAGCCATGCAGCTCTGAGTAAGACAGAGCCCAGAGTAGTTAGAACTGGTTTTAAATATGCTCTGGTCTTTCTAACCCCCTTTCTGCTCGCTGACTGACCCTGTGGGTCCAAATGATGCTAGTTTGGGTTCCTCCCCCGGGCATTTCATACCTGAATGTGCTTGGGAGATGTTTGGCTTCGTCTGGACTTCGAATTCCCAGGCGTGCATTGCTGGGGTGAATGAGGATTGTCTTACATAGATTGTGTTCCTGTGAATAGTTGGTGTGTGTTCTCAGCTCTAACTCCTTTTTAGTAGTGATTGTGTCCAGGAATTTTCTTCGAGGGTTGAGATTTTTTTTAATTAAAAAATTGATTTAAAAAAAAAAAAGAGTGGAGGGAATCCTGGATATAAGCAATGAAGAGGATGACTTGAGTGCCCTGATAGCTTTAAACCACTGGAAATTTCAGCTATGTATGTTTCATAATTGCAGTTTTTGAAGCTGGCGTCACTGGTATACTCTGCACTGATCCAGAACGGCATGAAACAGCCAGCACTCAGGGAGCGAGCGTGCAGATTTCATTCAGCAGAGCCCCTCCAGCATCCTCTCCCTCCTCTCTCCCGCCCACCCATGCATGCCTCCTCCCCTGTCGTGGTCTCTGCTCTCTCCAGCTCCCCTGCTACCTCACTGCTAGCTCTTTCCTCTCTGCCCACAGCTCGCCTGGTGTCCCAGGTATGCTGCAAACTTGCTTTTGAAAAGAAATTGTGTGGATTAATGAGAATGTATTGCTATTCTTACAGTCATTTTGTTTGTAACGCACATGCTGCAAAGGTTCTTCTGCTGTTGAACTCAACAACCGCAATAAATCTGTCTATCTGTCTATATCCCAGTCTATACTACCTTATGAACAGATGGGTAAAAAAGAAAAAGCAATAAAAACAGACAAGAAGAGCAGTAACAATGATAGCAATTTTAAAACCCTCCCAAAAAAACAAGTTTCTAATTTTTTTTTTTAAGCAGTATGAGATTAAATGAACTGAACTGCAAGTGCATCATCCTCAGAGTTAACATATAAACATTTCCCAGCAGAGATAGAATTGCTTTCTCTCCTTTTTCTCTCCTTGTTAGGGAAGACAACATAAGAAAGCCAGGTGAGACATCATCTGCGGATGCTCCTTCTGACTGTTCCTGGTGAGAGGAAGCCCAAGGGGGAAGGTGGTGCCTCTCTTCACTATCACACAACCAAGAGAAACCACAGCCCTGTTGAATGCAATGGGAAATAATAGTTTTCTCAAAAGCATGTATTTCTTCACGTAGCTTCACCAAACATTATTATTCTGCCTCTGCTGAAGGATGAAACTGCAGTTACGAAGAACAGTCAAGAGAAGTGACCATTAATCTCACAAAAAAGAAATTATTCAAACGTTGTCTTCACACCTGTGAGCTCAAAGTAGACAAGAAGTTTAAAACGTTTTAAGTTGTTCTGTTTCTGAGATCAAAGGACACAGGCAAATGATCTGGCAGTGGATGCTAAATTTCTTAAGGAACTTGCTTTAATTAATTAAACTAGTAAACCAATTAATGGATTTACTTGTAAGTTCTTAGAAAATTAGTTTTGTGCCCAAAGAGTATTAATTCCAAGAAGGAGGCAATATCTATCTTTCATACAGAGATTGAATTCCTGTTTCAGGTGAATTCAGTTCAGCATTGACTTTGAAGACACAAGTGATGCATTCATAATACTTGGACCTTCATCCTAAACTCATGTTTCTCATCAGCTGAAACCAGGACAGATTTGCAAAACAAAGCCTGTGCTTTTTTGACAGCACCCAGCCCATATACTAATTCGTAACTATACTAGAGCTTCACGTTGTGCCTAACCGTTAAGATAGTTTGCAGGTTTACACTCCTCGCTGTGCCATCAGACTGGCTTCTTAACGATCTGCCATTTCTTCCCTTTTTCTAGTTAGACTCTTTAATCTGAGCCCATGGCATAGTGGATGTGCAGCAAGCGAGCAGAGTGGCTCCACTAAGGAACCGACTGAGGCACTGAACTTCCTTTGGAGCTGCTGAAAAAGAACCAAACTAAAGTGGAGGAGAATCTAATTTACTTTTCCTCTCTGAAATCTTGTTTAGATTTTCTCCCTGGCCCCGGGGTGACAGGGACATCCTTGGTATCGTGTGCTGTTTGCAATCAGAAGTGACACGTACATGAAAAGTTCATAATCAGATGTGTCCAGGTTCCTGGAAACATGAAATCAGAAACAAGCAGGTTCCCTGGGGCCCTTGGCAAGTAACACTTACCTTCTCTCCTAGCAGGTAAAGTCATGCCTTCCGTTCCCTTCCCACAGAAATCCTCAGCTCTGGGTCTTGGCATCCCTCTGGTAGGGTAACAGTCTGCCCCGCTCCTGCGCCCCACAGGAGCCCTTACAGTGTCCCAGCTGGGCTTCAAGGAGAAGCAGTGGTACAGAAGAATTAGGAGTGGGAGCATTTTGAAGGGGAAAATGACAGGGGAAAGGATTAGCATTTCCGCTGTGATGTTTCTGATGTTTATTAATAAACAAGCAGCTTTCATGCCTCCAGGGGCAGGAAAGGCTGCAAGCATTCCTTACATCTCTTGCATTTAGCTTTTTTTTTTTACTTGTTTTATATGTTACAGGAGATTTGTAATGTCTTCCCACATGTTGAGTTTCCTTATTTTCATGTTAGCATCTCTGGAATGATTCCTCTGAAGCTCTTGGGTATGCGCTGCCAGGGTGATTTAAACATCTTGAGACACTTTAGGGATGTGGGGTGAATCAGCAGCTCATTCGAAAGGAGTCATGTTAGTTGGGAACACGTCCACTTCCTCCTTCAGGAGGAGGAAGGACTTCAGGGATGAGTGCTCCTTCATGTTGTAGAAAGCAAGCTCTTTGGTGTAGTTCCTGCAACCCAAGCACCGGCAGGCGATGGAGTCCCCGGTGTGGGTGCTCTGGCTGTGCATTGGCTGCTCTGCTGCAGGTGGTGCAAGCCTGGCCTTTGCACAGGCTGTTTCCAAGATGTTCGAACTGCTCTTTTCCCTGCTGTGCCATTTGTTATTTAGGAAGGCTCGTGCAGGGGGTCCTGTGCAGAGATTTTGGAATTGCAGAGCTCAGTAGCGGCCCAGTTAGGCTGTGTGTCAAACACCTGCTCTGCAGCAGATAACATTTGCTTGATTACAGGCAGATCCACGCCGAAGGAGGCTTCAGAGTCATGGTGCTAGTTCTCCTCTGCATTGTGGGAGGTGAATTAAAACCCTGCTGTATTAATGGATTTGTTCTTCTTTCCCCTCAGGCCTCCAGCTCCTCTGGTGGGAAAATGCAGCTTCTGGAAACCGAGTTCTCTCGAACCATCCGGGAGCTCATTGAACTCCACCTGCTTCGCCAGGACAGCATCCCAGCCTTCCTCAGCGCCCTCACCCTTGACCTTTTCAGCCGCCAGACCATCGCTTAGCTTGCACCGGTCCCACCAACACCCACCAGCCAGGCGAGCAGCACCCCTGGACAGGATAGTGACTCACCCCTGGTGTTCATAAGGTAGCGAGGACAAATTTTCCGCTCCCACCCTTAAGCCATGACATTGAGTGGCTTTTGTCTTTTGGGGAACTCCTTCTCCCCTCTTCTTCTATGCTGATTCCCTAACCCCCACCTGCTTCCTCATGCTCTTTTGAAAAGCAACATCTGCCTCATATGGAAGAGCAAATCTAGCTCTATCCCAGGGCTCTCCTGTGCCAAACCACACATGTGAACTGTAAAATGTGTTTAAACTCCCCGAAGTGTCTTACCGTCTCTCTGGGAAGTAGGTGGGAACTGCTGGTTTAAGGAGCCACAGCCTTGCTATTCACAGCTTTTCCCAAGAGGATCCTCCAAATCAGGGCCCCAGCAGACAAACAAAACATGGGTGTTTAGGAAGGCTGGTGTTCCCTGGCCCCATGGTTAATGAATTGTCCTCTCCTAACAGGAGCAAAGGGGTTAGTCCCTGAAGATAGGGCACTGGTGAAGGATCAGAGTCATGAGTTAGCAAGTTCATTTCAAAAACCTCCTGCTCTCACAAAAAGCTCATCACTCAGCAGGGTTGAAATTATTTTCAAGATATTGCCTCTAATTACCTGAGTCTAAGCCCCAGAGTGCCAGCCCCAGGTCTGCTGTCACTCAGCACACAAGCACAAGCATTAGTGGACTTTTGAAGACTCTATACCTGTATTGACACCTCTCTGTCACATGGTGTGCTCCAGTGTCATGGATGTGCTTTTTGTTCCTCACCAAGACTCTTGGGTTATCTCAGGAATGCAGATGGTGGGAGGGATCTCCTCAAGGTGCATTCACTTTACTGCTGGTTTTAGCCCGCTGCCTGTGACCAGGCTGTGGGTATCTGCCCACCTTGCTGGGAGTGTCCCCCTTCCCTTGGAAGTGTTTCTCCTCTGTGGAGGATACAGCACCCACTGAAGTCTGACATCTTGTGTTGCAATGGAGATACCCCTTTTATCCTAAGAATAAAGTGTCACTTCCCAATCTGAGTGTATGACTCCTTTATTTGGGATGTGTACTGTGCTGCCTCTGTGCTCTCCGCTGTATAAAGACATGGTAACAAATCACCCATCCGTAGTCCAAGGCTGGTAGTGCTTTGAGAAGGGAAGACATTGCTACCTTATTTTTTCCAGACATGTCTCATTCATGCTGTAGAACAGATTAGTTTGCTGCAACTTCTGGATGCATTGGTTTCCTCCTGATATCACCAAGGACCTACTTCTAAGCTTGGAGAGAAGGCAGCAGTAAGCCGGGTAGAAAGTTAGGTTAGAAGCTCACAGTAGCTGTAGGACTGGCCACTCTTACTGGAGTCGCTTTGGGACTCATGAATGTATCTACAGTCGTGGAAAACAGCTGCTATATATCCAGCTGATCAGAAGTGGTGGGACAAGCATGTGCTTTGGGGAGGCTGCAGACCCCATCTTCCCAGCCCCTCCCCACTGCAGGGTTTTGCAGGGAAGTGTTGCCATCTGAAGGAAAGGCAACAGCAGAAGTTTGACGTTTTCTCTTCTGCTTGAAGAAGTCCTAGTGGAAGATGAATTGCCTGGCATGCTGTGCCAGGGGAAAGCTGCCTGATTCATATGCGCAACATGGCACTGCGAGTCGCCTTCCTCAGTCATGGAGAAAATGAATCATGACGTCAGCCACACTGAACTCCTCCACCAACACAATAGCGGATCCTGGCTGCTGCTGAAAATTTTTCTCCTGGCTCCTCGCAGGAGAAATGAAGTAATTAATAAGTTTACAATAAACCCTCTATCTTAGCAAAACACGGGTGAGGCGAGAAGTGATGCTGGGAAGTGACAAGGGAAAAAGCATTCTGCCCGTTGGAAAGTTGCCTCCCAGGAGTGAATGGATAATAGGTTGGTGCAGAAAAAAATACTAGTCTTCCGAGACTCCTTCGGTGTGGAGGAAAGACACAGATGAATTACCCTGCTGCACCCTGTTCTTCCAGCAAAACTGATTTGTTCAACAAAGTTTAATAAGCTAACGCTCCTGGAAGAGGTGTTTTGCTGAAGATGGATGCCTGGCCTGATGTGCCTGTGTGGTGCAGAGGCTGGTCCTGCTAGCAGCTGGGGAGGCTGCTGGGGCAGCAGTCCTGCTTTGGCAAGCAGCACCTCTGCCCTGCTCTTACTGTAATGCTGTTAGGCAGTGAGCAGACTTGGGCGCTACATGAAACCAGGGCTTTGGGGAAGCTAGGCTACACTAAGTCTCGCTCACCGAGGCCTGGGAGCCTTCGCATGAAAGCGTGACCATTGTAAAGCAGCCTGCGCTGCTGGAGAGACACAGCATCGGGGAAAGGAGTTCCAGTTCCGACTTTGACGCCAAATGCGGAATAAAGCCCCAAGCAGATGGCTGAACCTTGCCGCTGTAGCAGCTCCTGTCTGTACGGCCGTAATTATAATGCTTGTCTCTCCCATGAGGGAGTTGTGAAGAATAACTGCGATGCTGAATTTTACAGTGATTATTCCTTCTGCACTGAGCTACCCAGGGCTTGGCAGATCATCACAGGGCCCTGCTGCCACACTCACCACCCACCTTGCAGTTCCCTGCCGCAGAGGACAGGCAACAGACCCTCGGGGGCAGCACAAACAGCGACACCGGTGGTACAACAGTTTTCAAACACTCCAGGTACCGGGTGTACAAGTCTGTCTTCAGCTTGTCACTTGCAAAGCTCCAGCCCTGTTTGCAAAAAATCATTTTAGAAAATCTTGGGAGATCAGTGATAAATTTGCAGTTGGTTGGAGGGGAGAGGTGAGAGTGTTAACAAGTGTGCGTATGCTTGCTGGGTCTCTGTGCACGCTAGCTGGGTTTATGTGCTGTAAGCTGTAAAATGTGATTTATTAATGCACGGCTGGGGGACTGTGTGTGTTGGAGCACTGTCTTGTTTGCAGTGTTGCCTGAAGCTTCCCTTCTCTCAAACTGCTCACGAGTCCCTGTTCCTTTTCTGATCAACCCTTTTCATCTACGTGCATTTATAAATATCTGACAGGGGCAAAGAGCTGTCAAGTACTGCCATATGGTCCTTGAAAACAACAGAGCTCTTGGGTAAGGCAGGTACTCCAAGGTTCATGCCTCTCCTAAGAGGTTGCCCCTATGAACCTGGAGCCTTTTGCTCCTGCCGTGCATTCCCTGGCTGCTTTGGCATTGAGGCTTTTGCTTTGTATGAGCACCAAGGAGTTGTCCTGGAAGTAAGTGTATGCCTGAGAAGAGACTAAGGAAGCCCTTGTAGCTCGATCCATGGAAAAGCTTGGCGCACAGCTCAGTGGTTTGTAGACATTAATTTTGGATCTCCTTCATGTAATGCTGTGGGGAGGGGGGAAGCGCATGAAGCTTAGGTTGGGGGGAGATAGGAGTGAGGAGCAGGCTTGGGGACAGGTGGGGAGGAAGAAACAGGACACAGGGAGGAAGGGGAAGCTCTCTTTTTCCCAACTGACATCCTCACTGGAAGTTGGCCGGCTGTTTGTGTCCAGGCTCTGCCCACCTTGGAACTGGGGAAGTCTCTGGTTTTGCCATATGTCGCTGGCTGCAGAGGGGCCAGCACAGTGCAACGCAGACAGCCTCTCTGAAGGCAAGAGGGAAGAAAGCTGGTTTCGCAAAAGCCTTTAACAATGGTGCAGGGAGCGAACAGCCCTTCATGTTATCCAGGTCAGGGCAGGCAAGGGTCCTTTGCAGGCACCAGCTGGAGGTCTCCTCCCCTCCCCTTCCCCACAGCATGGATCAAAAGCCGCTGCCTATCAGAGCACAGATCACAGCCCGTGCAAGGATTTTCA